AAATGACTCACCATTTCCATCTTTCTTGCTCTGAAAGGCAAAGACAATTTCCTTTGTATTTTGTAGCAGAAATATGTTCTATTTAAACAACTAACTCTATTTAATGACTATTGAAAAAAATGGTGCAGGTAAAATGGTGGGCTGTGTAATCCTAGACGTCATCAGTACTAAAATTTACTCCTTACTATTTTTCGAAATTTCTTGCGATTTTCGCCTTTCTTTTCTTCGAATTTCGTATTTTTATTCTCTTTCTTCTTCTTCTTCTTCTATTTGAGCAACAAATGTACGATTTTACGGGAAGACATAAAAAGGAGCTTTTAACCGAATATATTTACAAATTACAAAATATTTACAAATACTATTTACAAATATTCTTCATTAATTCTGGATCGGTTGTTGACAAATCGAAACTTCTGACAATTCGCCAATCATTATTTGGCTTCTTTAGAGCTTAAGTGAAACCGGTTTGCGTTCTACTCTGTACCCATTTAACTCTTTGAGTGGGGCGGAGTTAAACACTGAAGCATAAACATTGTCTCGGATTACTGATTCCATATTGTTAAGTCGCGATTTGGATTTTTGTTGTTGTTGTTGTTGTGCTGATTTCATGCAAGAATTTTAGTTTTTCGAATAAGATTTGATCTCCAGTTTCATGATTATGTTCGACAACTTTCTTTGTCAGGTTCTCTGTCTCTCCAATATATTCTTTGCCGCATATGCATGGAATGCTGTTAACTCCTAGGATCTCAAACAGAATTTTATCTTTGACGGATCGAAGATGTTGAGAGTTTTTTGGACAAGTGGTAAATGTGATTTTATTGTGTATTATATTTTGTAAGAAATTTTGAAATGTGGTCCCTGATGTTTTGAATGAAAGGAATGACCACAGTGGCAAATGCACTTATTTTATTTAGGAAGTTGTGATAAGTATTTCGTGGAGCGCTTAAAAACTTTAATGTGAAAATTAAAACAACATACGATAAATGATCTTGACTGTAATATTGCTGCAGGGTATCGTTCCAGTAGTAGGGAAATTGAATCACGAAATATATAAATAAATTAAACTAAAAATAAATATAATGCGTTCTCCATTATCACCGGTCATCGCAAATATATTTATTAGAGTCTTTGAGAAGAAAACCAAAACCAAAATTGTAAAGGATACGCTACGTGGATGATACTTTTGTTAATTGACCTCATGGATAAGAATTCCACAGAGAATTCCTTAGCCATTTAAACTCTACACACAATAACATTCGTTTTACCATTGAATTTGGAACTAATAATAATCTCCCATTCTTAGACATTCTTATCAATAGAAAACCAGATCTACCATTGGGTCAATCTGTGAAAACCCACACACACATTAGAATCCGGCCCAAAAATCATCGGTTATCAACTTCTCTTGTTTACAAAGTCCTCACTGAACCCAGAATTAAAGCACCTTACATCTGCTCTTCTCGAATAATTTCCACCATAGAGATATTAAGCATTCCATCGCAAATCACACTTGACAACAACATTCCAAAACCAATGAGTTTGAAAGCAGGTGCTACAGTTTTGCTTACATTTAAAACATCACTCTCCACATGTCAAGAGATTTACCACCAATAATCTCTCAAGAATTCGATCTGTCAAAGATAAAATTTCGTTTGAGTTACCAGGAGTTTACAACGTGTCATGCATAGAAGAAAAGAAAGAAAAGAAACTCATCAGTAGTTGTCGAACATAATCATGAAACTGGACATAAAATTTTATTCGATAAAACTACAATTCTTGCATGTACTTAATTATTGTATGAAAAATCTAGCGAATCCAAAGAAATATATAAGAAACCAAAGAATCTTAACCGCAACTCAGGTCTGTATTTTTCACCAGTATTTCGCTCCGCCCCCTCAGACAATATGTAGCCAATACGAGCCATTTTCAGTTAAGCTCTGAACAATCCAAGGGGATAATTAGGGAAATGTCCGCAAGTTCGACTCAGCAAAAACCGACGAAGGAGAAATCCAGAAGTTTTGTAAAAAGTAAGAATACATTCTGTTGCATTTTTATACTATATAATTGTAATTATATAAATCACAAATAAATATGAAATAAAATTAATCGTCAGAATATTTTGAATCTGTGCTATCACTATAATCGAGGAACATTATTATTGGAACGTTGTAACAAGTTTTTTAAAAACTATTTTTCAATTCAAATGCATAATGAACACATTTCTACAATCGCTAGTAGTAGTTCACACTGAGTTTTAATAACATAATTTACATGAGCGGAAATTTTTGCTTTTGTTTTAAGGCGTCTAATTTTATTTTCCCAATACCTTTTCTATAGAATTTAAATCTCAGTGATAAGATTATAATATAAGGAGTATAATACGATATTTTTTATAACCTCATTCTTTAAATTCCAGCTGGTTTCAAAGTAAAGGTCATGCCGACTAAAGAACTCTTGCAATACCTCTTTTTTTGCTGCTTTTTGAGCTAAGGTGAATAAATAATAATAAACCATTTCGCTGCCTGGTGGGATATTTGGAAGAAGAAAACTTTTTACCAAATTTTTAAAAAGTTCGCTTCTAATGTCTCGATGGTAGTCTAGTGAGCAGGGTTTAATTTTTATTGCTGAAAGTTGCAAAGCATTTTTATTTAGCCCAGCTTCCCTCAGTGTAAAATGGACATTATTTTTCCTCTCGATGCTTTCTTTGTGTTATGGGTGTCGAACCAATTCTCATTAAAATATTTCGTTTTTCTACATGAAATTGATGAAGTTGAGTCAAACATTTCACCAATCATTGGATATCTTTGGCGCAACTGTGCTTATCAATATTTTTAATCCTATATTCGATTTTGTACAGAAATCGGCGTATTCTTTCACTACTGCAAGTAAATTGACCATTTTCTTTTCATTTCTGTAGCAATGATTCAGGTGACGGAATGTCACACTTTCTAGTGAATCATTAGGAATGCCTATTATCTCCGCGGTTCTCCCAATGGCAGCTTCCATGTCCTCTAAAGCCGGGTCCAGACGGGTAACTGAACCGTGTAATGTAACTTGTGTATACACCGCATCTTGTCAAAATTTTACAGCGTACTGCTCGCAGTGAGCCGTCCGTTGTCGGTAAAATGGCGAACCTTCGAAGTAATGACACGTGTTAATGATACAGCATCTGGAGGAAAACTCAGTCTTTTAAAACCACCTATCTACATGTACGAGAGTACCGCTCTTGTAAAAATGGAGTGGTCGAAAGAAGAAACCTTCGAATTTATAGAAATATATCGGAAAAAAGAGGTGTTGTGGAACCCGAAACTTCCACAATATTTCAATATAATTAGAAAAAGCGCTGCATGGAAAGAACTCGGTGAAGCAATAAATATGTCCTCTGAACTACTTTTGTTCATCTCAGGTACCACAATATGTAAACAGGAGATTGCCATTAAATTCTCATAGCTCACATCAGCAACATCAGAACCTTTCCGCACGTCATCAGTCTCCGCACGAATCTCGTTTTCAACATTCCTATCAGTCACCTAATTACTTCTATAAGTCACCTAATGAAACTTCCTTCGCCAAACTCTGAAACCACCGTAATGTCACTACCAATGTATCTTGTACTGAAATAACCTTTCTCATATGGTATTTTGTTCCATTATCTTCGGGTCAATAAAATTGATGAAAAAGTCTGTTGGCGACATCCTCGTGAAATTTTTATAGTTTCCACTAACTGACTGGAATTTCAAATCACGCAGTAAACTTTGTTGATCTCTTTCCGAAAGTTAATGCATTTGCCACCAGCGCCTTTGTCTTTTCTTCTTATTTTTTAATTCAAAATGCATATAAGCCGCAGCAGCTACATCCATATCGTAGTGTTTACTTCCCGACGCAAAAACAAACTGAAATTAAAGACAGCTCGCCAGAATGTATTCCAAATATTGTATGAGGTTCGGTTCGGACGTTCGTACGTTTCGATGGAACAGAAACTCGAAAACAAGCGAGCCAAACATTTCCTTGGTTCGCAACGATGTTACGTTATGAGGTTAGGTTGCCAGTCTGGACCCGGCTTAACATTTTTAGAAGACCTATGGACAAATTTTCCATTAAAAAATATTAATTATTAGTGGATTTTTTATTTTCCATCTTTAAGTGTCATTAATGTTGTAGCAAACGGTGATATATTTTCAGTTTTTTAAAATTTCAATACTCAGAAACAGTATATAAAATTGTCCGATAAAAAGGATAAAAAAATATATAAGTATTATATAAATTTTACCTTCATATACTCATAAAACGATTCTGTTGCAGCACATATTCAAGTGACACTTTCTTTTCAGTTAACTAACAAATAATGACTGTACTGTTAAAAATATAGAAGGAAAAAGAAAATTTTGATCAAAAGCTTTTAAAAAAATATTTAGAGTTTAGAATGGACGTGTTATCTACTCATCAACAAATACATGCTTCTTTTAAATGGTTTTTAAAAATTAACACGTTAGGTAATAATATATCAGTTTTAGCTTTCACAATTTCTAAGCTGAATTTAAAAATGTTAATCTTTAGTTAATCTTTAGAACTATCACATGCAAAATACTACATAGAACTCATGTAGAGTATGATCTGTTCATAGATGTAAGAAAGTGACCAATTGCTTTTGAAAGGATTATCCAAAGGTGGTCATTAACATACAATGCAACAAGATTATTACTTTAATTAATAATTAATAAATAATAATTGATTAATTAATAATTGGTTAATTAATAATTACCTTAATTAGTAATAATAATCTTGTTGCATTGTATGTTAATGACCACCCTTGAATAATCCGTTCAAAAGCAATTGGTCACTTTCTTATATCTATGAACAGATCATACACGGAAATGACCGAGCTAACCACCTTCTGGTTCGATTGAAAAGATGAAATAGTTAAAAATAGTTCATAAATGTATACTTACTAGTTTCAGCTTTCTGTTTATAAAGTTGCACTAAGTGAAGAGAATTTTTAGACCTTGGCGATGGTATAAAATGCTTTCAATGCAACTCGGTTGAGGATCCCGGATGCGGTGATATTCAAGCAAACGAAACAGCCAGTCCGTTTCTGCAGGAGTGCGTTTCCGATTCTAAGATGGGCGGTCACCTACCGTTCTGTCGCAAATTAAAGCAAGCAGGTAATAATAATAATCTTTATTTTTGCATCTGTAAACAATATTCTTACAATATTGAACAGAAATTACACTAATCATCAAAATGATGTACAAAAAAACAGGGCCACTGAAGGTAATTTTGACGAAAATCAACGTCCAGCCCCTTGGACTAGAATATTTTCATTCATTTAGTTTCTGAGCTACTTAATAATTTAATTAAACTTAATCAATTAATTAAACTTTTATAGGATATCTCTGTTAGTTTTGGGATCACCCTCGTATCTCCGTTGTCTTTTAAATTATTGAAGAGATTAAAGAACGTTCCTATCGGATTTGTTCCGTAGAATACTGTGGTGTGGTTTGTTTTTTTCTTGTTCTAGCCGTTTAATAGCTTTGAAGCAAATGTTTGCTTTTGTATGATTTATGTATATCATTTTCTACGTTAATTCGAAAATGATTTTCAGAAATATATTAGTATATGTTTGCTATTTATATTAACTTATCTAATACCTTACAAAATGACCTTATCAAATTTTGACTTATCAACTAGGTAAATAAATTAATGAATTTTATTATGGTGTAGTTAAATTGAAAAAACTAATTATGGAGTTTGTCTAAAGCTGAATTAATTGATATGATCTATATACTAGGTGAGGCGAAAAAAGAAGACTTTGTTGGTAGTAAGACTTTACAAGTTCATGTATCCCAATAAACGTATACCAACCAAACAATCTCTTAAGTATTTATCTAAACTGTTTAATACTAGTGGCAGTATTGAATATGAAAAAGTGGTAAACCGGAATGCCACCAAGGGGGAAACAGAATTGTAAAATTTACTTCAAGTTCAAGATAATCCCCAAATTAGTGGCCGTCTAGTAGCTAGCTTATGTGATACATCCCAATCTTCTATTAAACGCACCACTTGAAAAGACAAGCATTATCCCTTCCATATGTTACTACACCAAGAAGTTCTAGGCCGTGATTTTGAATACTGTTATAAATGAATTATTATTATCATTCAACAGTCAATTTATTCTAGGAAGTGCAAAACCAAAAGCATTGGTCACTTAGTGTGTGGTAGGTAAGTTCTAAGGAAATAAGTTTAAAGTTATTGGAACCTATTTTTTAGCTAACCACTTAATGGGCCTAGATATTTAAACTTTTTGCAGAAGAAGAACATTGAGATCGAACAAATGTGGTTTCAGTAGGATGAAGCTTCTCCTAATTATCATCGACAAGTCAAGATTTTTAAATCGTTACTCACAGAAACGGGCGAGTGTAGGAGAATAATATCGTTTATGCTAAGGAACGTCCAAGAAAATATACGAAAAACCCTAAACATGGGTATTTAAGTTGAAGGGCACATTTTTGAGTAATGTTGTAGTAATAGGTATTCAATATTATTTACTGCGACTTTAAAATTTTGCTGTTATTTTCACCAACATTGCTGATAACTGTCTATAACTATATCTATAACTTTATCTGCGGCTCCAACAAAGTTATTTCTCCTTTTTATTTTTAAAACTTAACAGAGCCCTGTTCGCTAACAGTTTCTTACTAACAGTTTCTTAAGTTAAAATAAATAAAGTATTAGGTATATGACATACTTTATAAAAGGTGTAAATTTTTGTAAGATTTTTCAGAAAATATAGACAAAAGAAATTCAAAACAAAATTTAAAGATAAGTTGTTCCATTTCAAAAAATGCTTCACATGTTTTTGTGTAGCCATTTATACTTTAAAATAATTTTAAATTGTGTACCCTAGCAATCTTCACAACTTTGAGATAATGAAATTTGCTCTATCGTAGACTAGCGCCGTATATTAACAGTACCTAATCTGCTGAGGCGCAAAAACCAAACAAAATATAAAAAATGCACACAAAGTTTTAAATCATTCGAGTTCTGAACTACCCCTGGCGAATCATTTATCGGTAATAAAAAGAAAAGCGGACCAAGATTTATTCCTTGCGGCACACCAAGTCTTGTCAAAAAATTCCTGGATTCTCCTCCTTTGTACACCATAAATTCCCACTTGATAAATACGAAGCGGCTAGTCCATTGACAATTCAAATTTGCACAGTTTCGCCAAACAATCCGTCACGATCTACTCTTTCAAAAACTTTATTAAAATCGGTGAAAATAATTCTGATCTGACTATTTTCTTCGATTGCGTGACTTGCTTTTTGGGCAAAGTTGAAAAGATTTGTTGTTACAGTGATTTTAGGTAAAAAGCCATGTAGCTTTTCTCTTAGATAGTAATATATATCTAAACATGATTTCTGTTAGTGGCGCCGAATCAAATTTAAGTTATTTTTGGCAGAAAGCTTGGAAATTGCTGTCTATCCTATTCTCTACCTTTGAAACATTTTGATAATATTGCAGATAACTCCACATCTGAAAAATCTAAAACAGGTTTGGTTAGTTAATTCTTTAGAAAATCACCATTTTTGGAAATTACATTTGGAATTCTATGGTTTATTTGGCTTACAATATTTTCGGTAAATTCTTAAAGTAAAAATGGAGATCGCTTTGTTTCTGAAGAAACCAAAAACGAAGATGTTCTCTGGCTTCGAAATGACATATGAGTGGCCCCTGGTAAATTGGTATACTGGTATAGAGTGACACTGGAAAGTAGACTTGATTTGGATTGACACATGACCAATATATTAAACAGAGCCCACAGAATGTTGGAATTTGTAATCAGAAATTCATTGAAATTATTAAATTAACGAAATTAAAGCTTTTACAAATTCTTCTTTTGGCCTGTGTCGATTACACAAGCAATATGAGAACGTCATCTAAACCCAATCAAATCAGGAAATACCTAAGACATTTGGTTTATGTTTTACAGTGAAAACGGATCGAATACCAAGGATAGTACGTTCTTGCGGTTGGATATTGGACAAACATCGAGAACGCACAGATTACTGCAAAAAAGGAGACACGGACTTCATTTTAAGGACCAACTGCGCGTGTTTTTCAGATGCCTGTAATGGTTCCACTAGGATCTCTTCGTCGCCTTTCGTCTGGTTGTTTTCAGTGATAACCGTGTATATTGCCTCTTTCAAATGTACTTAGGAAAATACCAGGGCATATGTATTTATTGTAATTCGCATAAAAAACACATACGACGTTGCTTTTGTTTTTGTTGGTGTCCTTTCGATCAGCAAGGCAATTTCCCAGTCGATAACCGTGTGTCAGTGCCTCGCTGTTGACGTTATCTTGTTTGCCAAACACTGAGATAATTCCCCTATCAGCATTTTTAATACATTTGCGCTAACGTGATTGCAATTAATTTTGGCGCTAAAAGGAAGGTATAATTATTACGTCTGGCATAATATATTTAAGCGATAGTTGGACCTGGTATTTGGTTATGCAATGCATCAATAGTGACCACAAATTAACGATGACATTTAGCTTGTTCTAGGCAGTTTAGGTTTTGACCCTCCAAATTTACCACACGCCTTTGTTTCTTTTTGCTTTCAAAAAATCGATGAAATCGCATATCTCCACACGGAAAAACAGAATAGTTGGTGCAAATAGGTTAAGCTCAATTTGAGCATATACTCAGCACTATGTCGGCTTAAAATCAAAAAGTGAGATTCTCAGTATCTTAAGTTCCTTTTAACAATGTTTGAAATCAATGCTTCGTTTGACTATTTCAAGTTTTTTAAACAAAAATGAAGGTGATTCAAACTAAATCCCCTTTACAAAGTACATCCGCTTTATTTTAAAATTTTAGATACTTTTGTAGCAACTTGAATTGACCATACACCGTCTTAAAAATATAAAGCTAATCTAATTAAATGTTCAGGCGAAAGACTAAATATTAATTCCAAGCTTTGACCCAACCCGGCAACACCGCACTAGGACAAGGATGAAGAAGACGGGATTCACGCGTGGAACGGGCGTGGGTCGAGACGCCCCGCGAATGCCTCCTAATTTCAATTAATTTTGATATGCAATACAAATGTTTGTTTGGCTTGCAGAGTACCGTATATTTATCAAAGTAGTGAAAAACAAAGTTAAGTGGTTATTACTCCGCTGAACCTATCGGGAATCCAAAAGATTCCTAAGTGGTCCTTCGAACTCTGAAAACAGCGTTAGCCCGACCACTAAATGAGCATAATTTTATATTGGATTTCTGTTAGTTTTAAATTAGTTAGATATATACTTGAAAAATATTCATGTAGTTGGTCAACGAGCAATATCTTATCCCAGTTTTATATTGAAAGGGTGGTAATTTTACCTTAAAAATTAAGATATTATATAACATAACATATAAATAGCTTTTCAGCTTATCTTTTTTCTAAAACATGTTATTTATTGATGGATTTTTAATAAAGGTGGTTAAGGACTATTTTTAAAAATGAACTTTTGCGGAGGTGTTTACTAAAGATACATTAATAATTATGACAAAAAAAATGTCTACTATTGTGGTAGATATGCCGAAGTAGATATTTACATTATTTTCATTAATTTTATCTATCTAAAATTAGTATTCCTATTATTTTATTGTAATAATTATATATAGAGAAATTTGGTGATCCAGCATGTTGATGTAAATGTAAATACATAGTTACTTTAAAAGTACTTTTGGACGAAGAAAAAAATTCATTGCCAACTTTTTCTTTAATCTCGAATCGAAAAAGGGCTTTAGAAAAGATTTTTTTTTTGGTTGTCCCAAGGACTCGAAAATAGTGGTATTTAGGAAAAATCTCTACTATCTCTAACATACTTAAAAGATGTAGTTAGTAAATATAGTAATTATATAGTGTTCTAAATATATATTTTTCAATACTTTTATAACAGACTTTGGAAATCCCCAAGTTTTCAATGTGTCTTCAATATTTATTGTTTTCACACCACGAAAAACTGACACTGCACTGAAAGTTCATATGACCAATCGCTACTATAACTAAACAGTACTGTACGATTATATTCTCTCATAGAAAGCATTTTCAAATTTGGTATGTCAAACTTATTACATCAAGGACATCATAATCTTGAGGCAATTATTTTACAGACTTATATACGATTTGTCCTTTTCACTTGAATATTGAATTCACACTGAGCAACGTTGTTTTTTAATTCGTCCCATATCATTTCTACAAGACTGAATGGCAATCGTCTTTAATTATTATGGATAATGCACGATATCAATCTAGAATTGTACCAAATGCATCGACAAGAAAAGAGGAAATTGACAAATGGCTGCCGAATAAGCCGATTATTACAAAATGACAAATTATATTTTATGCGATATCATACATATTTTTTTTCCGATTTTTTTGGCCTTGTTTTGATTTTTTTTGCATGGACAGAGTTTTCGAAAAATAGGTTATTTAAAAACATATCTTAATTTTTTCATGTAGATTCCTCTGCATAAATATTTGCATATCATTAAGGAACGCCATGATCTATTATAACATAGAAAATACATGAATTCATTTGTAAATTAATAAATTCCAAGGACGACTGTTTCTGTGTCTGTTACTGCCCAAGTAATACGATCGTGATCGTGAGTGACGTCTGTCTGGTATTGATCAGATAGACATTTAGAACGGAGCAATATCTGTTGAAGTATAAGCGAAAGCAAGACAAACAATCTATTTTATTCGGTCTGGTGTTTTATTGCCGACTATGCCATCACAAATCGTACCGACTATATTTCCTTTCCTTTCCTTTTATTGTGTGCTGGAATATAGAGGTAAACTTTTCGGTATGATAACCATCCTGTTTAATGAATGCATTATTCTCTGGTTGATTAGTGGAAAATAGCAGATATGATATATTTGTAACCTGAACTTTACCGGACCTGATACAACAGAAATTCAGGCCCTATGAAGAGGAAGAACAGTGTTTTCTGGTTTTTACAAACAAAATATCTCAACTGTTGGCTTCTTCAGAGTTCAACTAAAACTGGATTAAATTGTAACACCCTGTATAGTTTTTGAGTGATATTGGCTCGATATTTTCTTATTTGTTGTTCGCTATCGGACGTCTCGCTACTTATACACATAACAGATTAAATGAGCGATAACCACGTTCTGTTTGGAGAAATACGATACGCGCTATTGTTGGTTATTTTGCCAGGCGCGTCTCGAAAAGTAGGTCAAGATGTCTCCAAAGGTTTAATTTCGAATATTTTTCGAAATAAACGCATTTAATTTTATTTCGAGTTTCAGTATTTCAGTCTAACCGAGAAATTTGTCACCTAATGCAAAAACGGTGATTTGTGATAACGAAGATAGATACCAGCGTATCCCCATTTTCTGCTAATGTTTCTATAATCTAATCTCAGTAATTGTCGATAAGCTGATTATTACGAAAACTTCTACATATTGTCAATATTTTAACGAGGTTCAATTTTTCCGATAAATAATATTATGAATGGTGCATTTATTATTGTTTTTTATTTGATTTTGGGAAAAATAACTCTTATTGGGCCCTGATTTTCCATTTTAGTCTAGATTGTCCATTTTAGCCGATTTTGTCAGTAACCCCCTTGATGTATGTATATATATATATATATATATATATATATATATATATATATATATATATATATATATATATATATATATATATATATATATATATATATATATATATATATATATATATATATATATATATATATATATATATATATATATATATATATATATATATATATATATATATATATATATATATATATATATATATGATGACACTATATTCCGGGATATCATCCGTTCGCTCGTTGAACTCCGACTGGAATCCTGCATCCGACTGGAATCCTGCAAATCTTGCATCCGACTGGAATCCTGCAGACGTTTCGCCAAAATCTCACTTGGCATCTTCAATGCTCGCGCTCCGAAAACACTTCGAACACTCGGAGCGCGAGCATTGAAGATGCCAAGTGAGATTTTGGCGAAATGTCTGCAGGATTCCAGTCGGATGCAAGATTTGCAGGATTCCAGTCGGATGCAGGATTCCAGTCGGAGTTCAACGAGCGAACGGATGATATCCCGGAATATAGTGTCATCACATTTTTCCATCCGTGAATCAATACGTGAGAATATATATATATATATATATATATATATATATATATATATATATATATATATATATATATATATATATATATATTCTATTCTATTTAACACGCAGTTAATGGCACAGTTTAAAACTCTCTAATGAAAACTGTCTAAATGTTTTCAGTATTGACAACGTTTAACCAGTTGCAACGAATTAGAAACAATAAGAATAATTACAGAATTCGGTAAGGGCACGCAAATTTAAAATCCCAACAACAAATATAACTAATGTAAAAAAAAGCTAAGGGCAAATAACAAAACCAATAAATATGCGAAGAGCGAAGAACGATACCAGTATCAGTCAATACTGCTATCGCTTTGACAATATTATATATTATAAATATTATCTCAACTTATAAGAGAAGAAATAGAAAGATAATTAGTTGTGATAATCGGGACATTGAAAATAATTCTATTCCGAAGAGTATAAAAACAAAATAATTCACACAAATATCCGAATTATAAGCAAAGAAAATATCAAAACACTGCCTTCTCGACTTCTGTGATAATAATGTAAATTCTCATTATAAGAGTGAAAGTATTTTTGTCTACTGAAACGAAAATGAAGAGTATCAATGAATTTTATTTGGACCCTGGCGATTCCATCTACGTAATTGTTATAACGGTCTCCGAGCTGGCGACGAATACTCCAGAACATGTCGTGTCTGTGTAATTCAAGAAGCTAAGTTCTTAAAGCGCTCAGTGGTTCTCAACATAAATACTAGATTACGCAGTGCTTTTCCGGTGATATGGGACCCGAAATACAGTTGGTTTAATTTTAAATTCACATGTACATAACATTGGAGAACAGAGTTTTCCGAGTCCCTTAGACATTCACTTTTTTATTTGGATGCATTGCAAAATTTAAGACCAAAATATGGTTAAAATTTTTTGGAATTCCACTGTTATCGCTTCCGAAAATGATATTTCAGTGATATGTGGTACACATAATAAAAGGGTTTAGTAGTTTACCTGAGGGTATTTTAAGCTTTTGATTTTAATTAGTTGACTGGCAAAGAAGTGAGCCTTCTAGTACCACAATTGGCGTAACACATAAAACAAA